GAGGCTGGCTCAGCCAGTTTCTACCAGCACCTGAGAGAGGACCTTCATCCTGCCAGGACAAAGGCCTTGTGAAGCGATGAGGACCCATCTCAATTCTGTCGGTTTTTGCTCAGAAAGGGAATGGAGAAAGGGAATGGAGTTGTAAATAAAATGCATCTTGCCCTGGCTGGTGTAGCTCAGCGGATTGAGCGTGGGCTGTGAACCAAAGAGTCGCATTTTGATTCCCAGTCAGGGCACATGCCTGGGTTGCGGGCCAGGTCCCCAGTAGGGGCCTGTGAGAAGCAACCACACATCAATGTTTCTCTCCCTCTCTTTCTCTTTCCCTTCCCCTCTGTCTAAAAACAACAACAAAAAAAGAAATAAAATATTTTTAAAAATTGAATCTTTAAGAAAAAATATCATGCAAGAATTTGTAGTTTTCTAACAAGTCTAAAATGAAAATAGTAAAGAACTGAGTATTGATTTCTGTCTTCTGTGGCAGTTTATAATTTGTGGATGAGTTTTTTATTGGTGATATTAAGAACACAAATTAAGCATTTCTGTTTTACAAACCAATGTGATGTCCAACTTTTTAAAAATATCTCCAATTAGGTGGATAGCAAAGTTCATTGGGGAAAATCAAAATCAGAGGTGGTCCTTGAATTGCTCAGAGGTGGTCCTCTGTAAGTAAGGCTAGAATGATGCCGCAACTGTTTAGAGAGTGGCATTCTCTTCCTACCTGCCCCTTTTGCCTAGAATTAATGGAATTAATGTCACCTTGGAAGCATCCAAGAAACTAAAACAAGAAATTATGAGTGGCATCACTGCATTTCCCAACAGCATTGAAATATCAAGTGAATCGGCTTAGGAGGAAAAATAGGTTCACCTACATGAGGTTTGTTTTCCAGTTTAGAAATCTCTAGATCCGCTGAAAACAGAATTATGTAACTCTGGGGTGAGGTAGTGGTTAGAAAACTGACACAATAAATTACTGTGCCTATCCATAAGAAAATTTTTTATTTCTTCCATGGGAGAGGAAGTCTAAGGGCCTTACTTGCTGTGCTAACAAGAGCTTCAAAAGTTTAGGAGGTAAGAGAGGAAGAGAGATTATCTCAGTGAACAGGAAAGGCCTCAGGTAGGGAGCAGGTTGTGAGTATCTAAAGAGTAGATGGAATTTGACAGGTAAACATGGGTGTTTGAAGGGAAGGATATTCCAAGCAGAGGGAATTACTAGGACAAAAAAGGAGACAACACGTAGAATGTTTAGAGGATGTCCGATAGGTCAGTTTGGCTAGACTCAGCCCGTGGAATCGAGGTCTAGAAAAGCAGGCTAGTTTTAGAAGGGCCAAGAAACAGTGAGTGAGCACCTTAACATGTTTCTATGCCAGAGAAATTATGAGCTGGTATCCAGACCATCCAGCCTAGTCCTGTTATTTTATATGTAGAAAAAAAATTAAAGGATTGATTTATTGTCCTCAGGACCAGGAAGCTGGTCTGGAAGAGAGTTAGGACTAAAATCCAGATATTTTAGTAGTCAAAGTCATCTTTGCAAATAAATTTGTCTTTAGACAGTAAATTTTCAAATATTCTCTAGCCTAATTTTTAAAATGTTACCAGTAAATATTAATTAACTGTTACATTCTGAGCCCCTGTTATTTATACGCAGTATTAACCACCTACCTGGTTATGGGTTAGAAACACATACACAATAAATCTTTTCATAAAAATTCCCAGTGGTGTTGCTGGGCACCCTCCCAACGTTCCCCTCCACCTTTCCAAAGCTTCCATAGCCCCTCAGCAGGAGAATATCTAAGTAAAGAGCCAGGTTTCAGTGTATGTTTTATAAGTTAGAGTAAGTCTTGAAAAATCACCATTTAAATGTGTTATTTTTAATATTACGTTACATATTAAGTTTTCAACATAGACAATGAAAAATAGAGAAATGACCTATTATCCCACTCCTTAGCTAACTCCTGCTGACTTGGTTTTAAATGACATATAAATACATCATAAGAACTGCAGAAAAATAAACAGTAAAAGTAGTAAGTAGGAATTCTCCTTAGTTTGCTCCCAAGTCTTTCCCCAACTATATGTATCACCAACAAATTCTCATCTGTTTTTCCAGGAAAAAAATGGTGTGTACAACTGCAAATGTTTTTCTTACTGTGACATTATACACAATGTCCTGTGCTTTGCTTTTTAATTTTCCTCAAAAATACATCTGGAAGGTTTTTTAATACTGAAACCTACAGAAATATTTCTTTTTAAAAGTCTTCAAAATATTTCATTATACAGGTATTTTGTTATTACAAATAATGAGGAACAATGTTTTATATTTTCAGTGCTTTTGTGAATATATCCACAAAATAAATCTCCAAGTGGTGGAATTAGGAATTAGCATGCTATTCCTCAGCTAAAAGCCCTTTAATATTCCTCTACCCCACGGCAGTTTAGAATCAAATCCAAATATTTTGCCTTGATTTACCAAGCTGTAAAGACCTGGCTCCTGCTTGCCTCTCCAACCTGTCAGTTATGACTTGGACAGACCCAAGCTATTTGCTCTCAATTCTGCAATCTCAGGCCTTACCCCAGGGCTTTTGGACTTGCTCTTGCTTCTTGTAACCCCAAAGCAGATGGCTGGCTCTTTGTATTTTTAACTTAGAGTAACCTCAGTGAGGCCTTCATGGTTTAAAAGAGCACACTCACCCTTTCACATCAAGCGGTTTAATTTTAATCTTAGCACTTCACTTTCTAGTAAGTCATTTTGTCTTCCTTTCTGGATAGCAAGCTCCAAAAGGCCGGATCCCTGTCTCTCTTCTTCCCTGCTGAGACCCAGGAGCTCAGAAGAGCACAGGCTCTGGGAATATCCTGTGAATGAATGGTCAGATGATAAGTGAATTGAAAATGACCATGTAGGCTGCTGCATTGCTGTCTAGATTGCCACCAGTTTTCACTGCCAAGGACAGCGCCTGTTCTGAATGCTCTCAACAGCACTTACTACTATCAAGCATTTACCATATTTTTGTAATTGTTCGTTTTAAAGGTTAAGAAATGGGAATATATCTCCCACTTTGAAATAATTTCTTTTTAGACACTATTAAGAACAAATCAGCCCTTGGCTGGTGTGGCTCAGTGGATTGAGTGCTAGCTTGTGAATCAAAGGGTAGAGGGTTGGATTCTCAGTCAGGGTACAAACCTGGGTTGTAGGCCAGGCCCCCAGTAGGGGGCGTGTGAAAGACAACCACACATCGATGTTTCTCTCCCTCTCTTTCTCCCTCCCTTCCGCTCTCTAAACATAAATAAACTTTAAAAAAATTTTTTTAAAAAGAAACAAATCAGATATTTGTTTTTAACATAACCCCAATTCCATCTTTGGAAAACGCATTGGCAATTAGATAATATTTGAATAAGAAACATGGAAAATAAATGAGAATTTCTCAGACTAGTTTGAAATTGATATGATGACTAGCAATCTAGAATACAAAATTTAAAAAATCGAAATCTTTAAAGACAAAAGTAGGATTTATCATTGCAACATACAGTAAATTGTTTGCTAGATTTTTTTTCTCTTCTTTCTTTCCTACTTTTTAAATCTATCTTGCATTCACTTTATAACTATCGACTGCTCATAGGCCCAGGTAGTGTGCTAAAATCCTCACCCCATGAGGCCACACCCACCTTACGGCCCAATGGGGCCAAGTCTTTTGGCCTGAATTTTACCTCCACTGAGAATTGTGCCTGCAGAATTCTCTAGAATGACAACCCTTAAAAATTCTGTACATGGAATCTTTGAGAATGTCAATTTATTAATCAATTTCCTAATCATCAACCAGCCTAGCCATTTAATTTCTATAATCTTGTAGTGGATTTTTAAAACTCCTTCTTTAATTTCTTATTACACTTTCTTCCTTGACAGCGACATTTCTCCTAGTTCCCAGTTTTCAGTGGTTTCCAGTCACTGACTTTGAATGAAAATACCCTGTTTTTGGACTATGGGGGAGGTAGGGAGCCATCCACAAGGGAAGGAAATTTCTTCCTGGTTCTAATATCTTCTGATTTTTAAAGCAGAGGTTCCTATTGTTGTGCTTTAAGCTTACAATTACATTCATAGATTATAGTATTAGATGCTCCATTTCTCATATTTCATTTTTCCTAACTTGTGGGGAATGAGTGGAGGAATGGACCGAGTAGAAAATACTTTTTCCTCTGAGAAAAGAAAGAAGGATGTATGTAGAAGCCAGTCTCACTGCTGTGAGACTGGGGGGTCCGTAGGGGTCAACATTACATTTAGCACTCTCCTCCAACAATTTTGTTCCACCTACCCGTACAATAAAGAGAAATTTCTCATGGATACAAATAAAGTTTCTGCATTGGACTAGTTAATCCAGTTTTCCTATCTGCTAACTTCCTTCCCCCTTTGTCTCAGTTCATTAACTCTACCTTTCCCCATCCCCAAAACGCTCCACCTAATTTTTCTCCCACTTCAGACTACTGTTCACGCTCGATTTTTCACCATCATCATCCTATCCTCAGCATCCCCAGCCGGCAAGTCGTTTAGGAGTTCTGCCGGCCGCCCAGCCCCCAGGTTTAAGGGAGTCAAACCCATAGCTCTGGAGGGTACTGCGAGGGTAAGGAGGTGGGAAGTGCGTTTTCTTCACGTATAATCTCGGTTCAAATTTGCCTGGAGTTCTTACAAGACAGCCGGCAGGTTTTACTATTTCCTGTCGCCTATTTGCCAAGCTCGCGGGTACGCGCGCCTCGGGGCTGAGCCCCGCACGCCAAAACTACGTTGAGAGACTAGGCTAGGCGGCCCACGAGGTCCGTACTGGGGGCTGTGGCTGACCCCGAGAACACCCCCTCCTTCTTCCCGTCCTCCCTCCACTCCCTCAGTCACCTTCGCCTAGGCAAAACGCCCCCAGGCTGGAGAGGTCTCGCGCGCTCTCGCTCTCCCTCGCGAAGGGTTAATTTTTCCAATCGCACGAGGGGGAGGAGATTTCCCTGTAGACAAGTAAAAAGGGTGATGGACAAACGTGCGGGCACTAAGACCGCAAGGCATTCATTTCCTCCTACGGTGGATGCGGACGCCGGGAGGAGGAGAGCCCCACAACGAGGAGCTGGGAGCAGAGCGCAGGCAATGATCAGCCCTGGATGTAGCTGAGAGGCTGGGAGAGACCGATCGCCGCGATCTCGCGGCGAGGGGAAGACCTGGGGGGCGGGTGGGGGAAACACAGCACTCGAAACCTAGCGCTTTACAGATTATTTTATTTTGTGTAGAGAACACATACCGTCTCCGAAGATCAGCCCCAATGAACATGTCAGTGTTGACTTTACAAGAATATGAATTCGAAAAGCAGTTCAACGAGAATGAAGCCATCCAATGGATGCAGGAAAACTGGTAGGTGATGCTTTTTTACAGGATCGGTGTCTCGGAGCCCTGCGCGTCTTCCCCGTGCACCTTAATGTCTGTTCCCCGCCTGGGCGTGAATGGAGCGGGGAATCGCGGGCCGCAGAGAGCTGGCCGCTGAGAGCAGGGGGTGCATGAAGCGTGTAGGTTTTGATGCCCCAGTGCGAACCGCGGCTACACTTGCATCTTTAACATAGATTATATAACACGGAATGTATATACTGTATATATGTTTGTATGTACATAGAGGTGTTTGCGTGGCATGGAAGGAGGAGGGAGAGATGCCACAGTGCAGGTCCCGTACCTGTGCTGCCTCCTGGCTTTCATCTACAGTGGGGTGTTCTTGCTTTGCCTCCCGCAAGCGGTGTGTGCTAGGCTGTGGAGAACCTGGGCTGCAGCTCAGTTTAACCCTCTCCCAACCGCCGACCTCAGCTCTCTAGCCTTCACCCTCTCCCCATCCCTCTTGTCCTTCCTTTCTCCTTGCAGGTCTCCACTTCTCTGCCCTCTCCGCGCTCCCCAGCCGGATTCCTCCTTCCCTGGACCCCTTTGCCCACGCGGATCCTTTCCGGTTTCATAAAGAGGCGGGGGTTGGGGGAGGGGACAATGAAAACAGAAAAATGAATGAACCCGAGCGAGTGAAGCCACGCCATTAAGTTTGTTTTACGGAAACGCCTTTTGGACACACTTAGTTCTAATTCCCTGGGAGGCTGCTGAGTGGAGTTGAGACATTAAAATCTGCGTCCGCGGAGTCCTTGGGGACTCATCCTCAGACAAACTCATATTCGGGTAAAGCATCTTACTCCTCTACTGTGTTCCCTCCACCAGGTTTTTAAAAAATTCCTGTGTTGGAGGCAGTCCTGTGTCACCTTGCAATATGTAGCAGAGTTGGGCTAGAATGTGCTCATCTCGTTCTTCCTTGTAGGCTGAGTTGCAGTGGCGGACGTCCCCTCCCTCCCCTTAACCCCGGCTCTGACCGTCCGTAAAGTGGTAGCCCGACGCCCTTGCAGCTGGGTAGTGGCCTGCTGCTTCCCGGGTGTGGGAAGAGGTGGGGGAGCTCGAAACAAGGGGGCTCGAGGGCGCAGAGGGACCCCGCCCACCGTGTACCCCGCGCCCTCACGACCTGCCTTCCCTCCCCCCTCTGGGCTGTGCGAAACCCGAGACGCGGGCGCGCTGGGGGACTGGGCGGGTTAACGCACTGGGAGGGCTTCCGCGGGCCGGAGCCGGGAGGGGTTCAACTTCCTTTCCTCCGGTTCCCAGTGGTAGCGACTGGCCCCGGGTGATTTGGCCGCCGCTCTGGTTTCCTCCTGCTCCGCCGGCTGGCTGGCAGTTTGCGGCGCGCCGGAGCGCGGGGCTCTGGGCGCTGGAGGCCCCTGTGGGGCCAAAGCCGGAAGCCGGGAGGGGGTGGCGATCCACTCGGAAGGCTGGGAAGTGAGGCGGGCGCTGGGGCGCGGGGCTGGGGTCCGTCCTGGGCCGCGCGGGCTGAGAGCGCCAGGGGTGGGTGGTGGTGGATGGAGGTAGTAACCCGCAAGGCTTGATCCCCTAACAGTCAACACTTGAAAGGCCTCGGCGTTAGGGGAAACCTGAGCCCCTCGCGCGGGGACCTTCTCCATCCAGATGCACTTCCCCTTCTTCCCGCGTGGGGGGTGGCGGCCCGCGCGGCCGCGGGGGGCTGGGATCTTTCCAGCGGTAGTTTGTTGTATCTCCTGGCACACAGCTGGAGCCCATCTGCCCCCACCGACCCCCATTATCCCTGGGTGCTCTGTGTGATCTAAGGTCAGACTTGTTGCACCCCTGTTGAACCTGCCCTTCTGGAGCCGCCTTCCCCTCGTGCCGGCTGCCCTTACTCACTGTAGGCCAGCCCTCTTCCACCGGCGCCGCCGCCCAGACTGCCTCTCTTTCACTTTTGCCGTTCTCTGGGGTCACTTTCTGTGCCTCCTCCAGGTACCATTTCCCGCCTCTTTTCTGCATTCACTCAACAAGTACACACTGAGCCAGACAGGCCTAATCCTTATGGGACTGAAACTGGCAAAAATGCGCCAATTCAGCTTCGCCTTTTAGGCTCAGACCAGTGTTTTCTCTGGCTTCTTATCTGTGCTTTGCTTCTGGCAGTCTCTTTCCTGGCTTACATTTATTTACACGAATATGTGCTGATAGGTCTGTGCCTCCTACCAGACCATCAGTTCTTTAGGGTATAGTTCTGGTCTCATTCCACTCTAGGTTACCCAGAGCACCTCAAAAAAGGCTTTGTACATGGCAGATTCTGGGGAATGTACTTGTCCAGTGAGGTATGAAATGACTGGTGCCCTCTTTATAGCAGGCACTACCTGTTAACATCTGAAGCTTAACATATTTGGTCTCCTGCACTTGAATACTCTGTCATTGGCCCATACAGGGATTTTTTCTCCTCCCTACTTTTTCTTTTTGTTGATTTTATGTTCTTTTTGGCTTGCTGATTGCAGTCAAAACAAAACAAAACCTCTCCTGACTTACTTCTTTGCAGGTCTTCCTGACCCAAATTTTCTTGTTTTTTTCTTTTACTCCAGTGTGTGTGCCCAATTTTATAAACCTCCCTCCCACAACCCCAAGAGCAAAAAGTCGTGAACCAGGTGTGTAAGACAATGAAGATTTTCTTTCTGTTTTCCTTGTTAACAGCAGGAGGGAGCTCCATAACTAAGGCTTGGACCCTTTTCAGGGCAGGGGAAGTTTAGGAAACCACAGGGTTTTAACTTTTCCAGACTCCTTAACTTCAAATGGTTTGCAATAGCTTTCAGAGGAAAACACAATGTCATGAAGTTTGTGCCATGTCTTTTGAGAAATCATCTGCAGTTGTCCTTTAAAAATCCTCTAGACATAGCCTCAAACAAAACTTGTTAGAGAATTATAATTTATCTCAGAAATGAGCTCTGCTGTCTTTTGAAGAATTCTTGAGGCCTGCCAGGAGTGGTGTAGTGTGCTGTCTAGTATCTATTGTCATTTAAGAGGACCTTAAGTAATGTAGCTTATTAAACATGTTCTGGAATCCATATTCATTACCTTATTATATATTAATGTAATAGGGCCCTTATTTTAGAGTGGTGTTGTATAAACACTGAAGAGTCCAGCTGAGGCAAGTTTGTCAGGTTTATTACTACCTTGATGAATGATTAACCCCACATTCATTTTTCTAGACACAGGATATATAGACCTTTTGCTTTTTTAGCAGGTAGTTTTTCCCTGTAAGAAATTAGAAGAGCAACTGAAATGCAAGGGAATGTATTCCCTTAGATAATTGTCCTGAGCCTCATCTCAAAAGTTCATGTCAAGTTAAAAATATCTGGGGTAATGTTATCTGGTGAGAGTTAATTACATGAGGTAGAAGAAAATGCCTTTTTTAGCTCAATAGCATTTTTGAGTTGTGATTTTACAACATTGAAAAGAGGCATTTTGTTCTTTTCTGACATGTCTGGCATTTGCTTGCTATTCTCACTAGCAGTGGACTTAATTCATAAAGGCTTCTAGCAAGGAGCAAAATCACCTAGTGATTGGGAAGGTGACATAAAATTCATTGAGTGAGAAGGGCAGCTGGGCTCTGCCTTTCCTTTCAGCAGCCTGCCAGGTCTGTGCTCACAGCAGTGGATGCTTCTTGTTCAGTTGTAAATGTTTGGCCAATGAAGATTATCTTCTGATGTCGGCTGACACCGTGTTCACCAATAGGAAAGCAGGAGGCCTGTGCTGACTGCTGCAACACTATGTAAGCGAGGTGACGTCATCACAGGGCTTGCCTAGAACCTGAAATCCTCCCTGCTCTCCTCTGGCTTCCTCTGCATCTGGCCTTTCAACGCTCTGTATTTTTTTCTGACTTTTTCCCCCTCCCACCTCCCATGATGTTTTAATTTTTTGTGTGTTCTGTATTATAAGGTCTATAAAATAGTATGAATTTTTAGAATTAAATACTCTGTAAGGAAACTTTTACCCACAAATTTGTTTTTACTAAGGAAAAAAAAAGAAACATTATTTAAAAGAATGGTATACCTATAAGTTTTTATATTTGAGGTTTACAAAGTAATATGACATACAATTTCTGTAGTAAAACAAAAGCATTATAAGCCTGTATTAATATCTTACTCAAAAGTACATAATCATAATGTTTATCAAACTTTAAAATGCAGGCTGTTTTTCCTGTAATGCCAGTTGCTTTGCGTTGATTGCTAAAATCTTCCTGTGACCTGCAGTATGCCTTTATAAGAAAAGTGTCTGGAAAATAATGCATTCTGGGGTCATGAAACAGAAAAGGCCCCAGGAACTCATTTAATCAGTAACACTACAGCAAATACAAATGTGGTCAGCTCTCTCGGAAAGTCCTGTGTCTACATTGTACTCATTATGTTTCTAGTCACTTATTTTGGAGAATCTCGCAGTTCATATTAGCTTTAAGACTTCAAAGCCCTAAGTGTGAGGCACTTAACCTGTTACTCAAACTTTAGAAGGCACTGGAATATTGGCCTGACGTGAACTAAATTAAGAACGAGAAGACTGAGAAAATGTATACAAAAGAAAAATATGATCTATGTTGTGATCTTAAAAAAGAATAAAATCTTGTTTGGAAATTTTGATATGAAAACTTTCATATATCTTTAAAGAGAATTGATTTATATTTATGCAGGTTTTTTAAGGATTCCCAGGTATAATGCAAATTCTTTGATGATATTATTCATTTCTTATTTGTATGAGCTATAAATAGTACATGACGGTAAAATTTTTACATAAGGCGTTTGTTAAATTGGGAGTTAAATTCTGTGGTGTAGAGAAGGCTGCTTGTTGCTTTTAATGTGAGGTGATGATGCTAATATTAGGTGTCAGTGTCACATTGGAATTCAACTCCAGAGTCAACTTATTTCAGAGCTAAGAGTTACTTTGCATACTTTCTTCAAACAGAATCTTTCAGGTTAGACAAGGGAAAAACCGTGAGGGGTATGAAGACTTCAGAATACTTGGGAGAGCTTAAAATCTCC